AAATGAACCAATTTGTACTTACTCCACCTCCGAGATGAACTCGATCTTGTTCAGGACCTTCATTGAGGAAATGGATCGCAAGAATACCCATACTCTGGTGACAAGAATCGCATATCCACTGTGTAAAATGATGAAGAGAATTATTAGGGAGTTGAAATTAGGTTGGTGTTTATATTAGAGAAATTTAAATTATCTCAATTTGCATAGGTTCTTCGGCGGCACTTTTGTAATCCCAATCTGGAATGAGATCGTCACAGTTTTTCAAGTCGACATGGACATAGAGCCTGCACAGTTGTAATAAAGCTCCAATCCATTTAGGATCCTCTACATAAGAAGGCGGATCCTCCTCTACATCAGCCTGCTCAGCATCATTTTCAGTGTCTTCTCCTCCATCTCCAGATTCATCATCCTCATTTTCTTCTTCTCCTCCTTCGTTTTCTACTTGCTCTTTATCATCCTCATTTGCTTCTTCTTCTCCTCCTTCGTTTTCTACTTCATCATCTTCATTTTCTCCTCCTCCTCCTCCACTTTCATCCTCATTTCTTCATCTTCGGATTCATTTTCTTCTTCATTATACCCTTCTCGAGAGTATTCCACTTCGCCAGATTCAGTTTGAACTCCAACACGCGAAAAATTCCAACATAATATACTGGAGATTGAAGCACCTGTGTATCAACTTCCAACATATTATATTGGATCGATATATTATACTGGAACTCCATTATAATATACTGGAGTTCCAGTATACTTATGTTGGAACTCCAGTATATTATGCTGGAGTATTTTTCGGATTTTGAACAGTGTTTTCGTTCAGATTTATCTTTACAAGAAAAGTAGCTAAATTTCGATTACTTTTGAAACTGTGGCTCTTTTTGAATAACCACTTGTAAATCTGGCTATTTTTTAATTTCTCCCCTCTTTTTCCAATAAATAAATTTTACAAACCGCAACAGTACTTATATATATATAAAAAAAAAATCAGACCTCTTAATAACATAATCCTTATATAACAACACTTCATATAAAAGTCAAGCTTTTTCTGGAACCAATTTTTATGTTAAGTTATAATACATGTTATTTATACCAACATTTTGTTATAATATTAAGAAATATTCAGAACAAATAAAACTGTTATAGAGATTAAGTACTGTATATCACATGAGTCACTATTACAAATACAAACATTTGGAATTTTCACTTATAAGAAATAAAACAAGGAGAAATGAAAAATGTTTTTGATACAACTCCTTGTGTTAATTGGTCTATCTATGTCGTGCCAGCATTTCTTCATTATTACTGTTACTGCAACGCAAAGTCCTTTTTGACTATCATCATTTTCACTACTGCAACACCGATTTTTACTTTTTCTGTGTAAGTAATAACTTAGAAGCTTATTTGTACTTGGATAGCGCTGGGAAACTTTAATTAATTTGTACAAGTATTATGGACTTTCTATAGAGATATGCAAATACAGGGTATAATTAATTAAGGTTTTTTTCTTTGTGGGTTTATTTATGTACTTGGTAGAGAGCACTTTCCCCGAATGTGACCTTATACGGCGTGAATTCGGATATAATCGGAGCCTTCAATGCGAGTTCCGAACATCAGGTGGAAAACCAAAAAAAAACTGCAGAGGAAATTATGTTTTAAACACTGTATGCAGAGGAAATACACTCCGGGCTTCCTCCAAAAAGACGTCAACGCCAAATATAGTTAGAAAATGGGAACTGTTGTTCCCAAATTGACGGGAGAGGAAAAATAGAAAGGGGAAGAAAGTGATGTTGGGTTGGACCACCGGACAGAGATCGACTTTACTAGTACTACTTTGTATCAGATGATCGGAAGAAAATATATGGTGCGAGTGGGATATTGACGATTGACCGGAGGAAATATTGTGTACTTTTTTTGAGTTTCTCTTTCTAATTTCAATGAAATGTTTGACATTTATTCTTATTATAGGGCACTTAGAATTCTAAGGGGAAGCTTATGTAAATATTATTATTATTATTATTAAAAGTGAGAGGTTTATATTTAATTAAGTATTTTTTAAATTAATGAATGTAGATTCAAATATTATAAAAAAAATTAATAAAGAGAAAGATATTATTCGAGTAGGAATAGAGAAATGTTTGAGGATAGTGGAATAGTGATATATATATGTTCTAGAAGGAATAATACCTGCTTTATTACAACAGATTCAGAGAAAATTATTTTGTGTTATTTAGCATAAAAAGGTTGAATATGTGAAAGGGATCAATTTGTTGGGCCATTAGAGATGTGTGTTTTATTTTTGCCTTTGATATTACCCTTTGGAAATGAAAGGACGAATTGAAATTACGAAGCCGTCAAAGAGTAATACTTCATCCGTTTATTTTTACTTTGACACGTTTTGACTTTTCACGCCTCTTAAAAAATATTAAATGAAGTGCATAATTTATCATGATACCCATATTAATTGATGCATATTTTATTAGATTTGAAATGAGTATTAAATACTGTGGGTATAACAGGAAAAAATAATTTATCTTCTCTTGATATGCATAAAATGACAAGTAAAAATGATTTTTTTTTAGTATATTTGCCAAGTAAAAGTGAACGGAGGGAGTAGCAAAATGCCATAGTCCTGGATAATATGAATGATAAAGTATAACAAACTCCATATGGTCTTCACTCCTTGCTCTTGTTTCCCCTCAAATTTCTTACGTCTTCTGACAAATGGCGTACAAAAAGAGTTTTTGTGCGTTTGATTATTGTTTAAGATGAAGTCTGAAATTGATAATAAATAGCTGCATAGATATTCATATAGATTTTTCTAAGAAGCTTGAAAGCAATGAACTAGTTGACCAACTAATATTAAAGTTTAATGTAATTTGCCTCTTTAGCTTAGAGGTAAGAGTCAATAATCTACACTGTAATGAACGAAGCTAGAATGCTTTGTCTACCAATCCCATCTTCAATGAAAAACGTTAGTTGAACCACCCCTTTAATTACTCAAAATCCCATTGTTCTTCACTGTAATTGTAGAGCTTAATCGAATTGTTCCTTGCCCATAACACGTATAACGTGGATGGTATACATACAGTGTGAGATTAACGGTTAAGCTTATCCCTTAATGGTCCAAATTTTGCAGAGGCGACAGCAAAGTCATTAGCCATTAAAAGATTTTAGAACATTATTATTACTCCCTCTGATCCGCAATGAGTGACCAATTTGCTTTGGGCACACTCATTAAAAAAATACTAAATTTTAGATGAAATAGTTAGTGTGACTAAATTACCTTTCATTAAATGTTACACCATAGTTATAGTAGCACTTCTCTTCTCAAATGTGAGGAGCAAATAACTTTTTAGGGATACGTACATAAGGGTAATTTTGAAAAAATAAATTAATTTTTTCTTGATTATATAAATGGACACTTGTTTTAGACCAAAATAAAATAGCAATTGCTCACTTATTGTGGACCAAAGGGAGTAATTTTTTGTAATTAAATAGTGCTAATTAAGTACTCCCTCATGTCCATAGTGATTTTTTAGCCTTTGACACAACCTTTAAGAAAATACCAACTCTTAGAGAAAAGAGGTATATTAACTAAATTACCCTGATTAAAATTTGCATATTATTACTTTGCATATTATGATCAACGAGGTTTACTTCATGGCATCAAGGTGACTCCTCGGGCACCATCTGTTTCACACCTATTTTTGCGGACGACGCCTTGTACTTTTTTCAGGTAGAGATTGGCGAGGCAAATATCATTAAACACTGCCTTGATAGCTATCAGAAGGCTTCTGGACAACAGGTCAATTTGCAAAAATTCGATTTATACTTTAGTCGGAATACATCAGAAGATATGAAGACTGCGGTAAAACATGCGCTTGGAATGAAAGAGATTGCTACCCTGGGCAAATATCTCGAATTACCATCCATTGTGGGTAGAAAAAAGAAGGACATATTACAATATGTATTAGATAAAGTTTGGGAAAAATTGCAAAGCTGGAAGCAAAAATACCTCTCTAGAGCTGGTAAGGAAATCCTACTGAAAACAGTGGTGCAAGCTATCCCAAATGATGTTATGATACTATTTCTTCTCCCAACAAGCACCTGTGACTCAATCGAGAAAGCAATGAATGGGTTCTGGTGGCGTGGAAAAGGTAGTGACACTGGGGGACTAAGATGGATGGCATAGAAAGGGCTATGTAAACGAAAAGAAGACGGGGGATTGAGATTTTGAGAGGTGCAGAATTTTAATTTGGCTATGCTAGCAAAAACAGCATGGAGTTTGATGACACGACCGGAGGCACTAGTGAGCCGAATATATAAAGCTCGATACTTCCTTATAGGAGATTTGCTTTCAGCAACAGTGGGAAATAACCCCAGTTATGTTTGGTGCTCATTATGCGCGGGGTTACAGGTCTTACAAGGTGGATGTGTTAGGCGTATAGGAGATGGACGTATAACAAAAATATTCCATACTCCATAGCTACCATCCGAGCAATTGCAAGTTATTCAAAGTGTGTGCAATAATGGGATGGAGGAGATGGTCGTGTCAGAATTAATATGTGAGGAGACTCGAACATGGAGCAAAGTGAAGCTGGAGACAATGTTTAATGCACAGGAGATTGAACTAATACAAAAAAATACCACTAAGCTCGACCTCACAGCCGGATAAATGGATGTGGTTGTTCGATCCAAAGGGCATGTATACAGTCCGTGGAGCTTTATGATCAAGTCGGACATGAAACTGAGGCAAGTCGCGACAACTTTGGCAATCGTTGTGGCAGCTGCGAACCCCACTAAAGATAAAAAACTTTATGTGGAGAACGATGAACAATGTACTCCCAACATGTGATAACTTGACCAGACGACATGTGATGAATAATGCAACTTGTCCATTGTGCTGGCAGCACCCCGAAACCATTGAGCATTGCCTCCTTAATTGCACCATGGATAAGGCATGTTGGCTGCAATCTCACGTGGGATGGATAGAAATAATTTTGAATATGGAGCAGTGGTTTAACAAGCGTAATCATACATTGAACAAGAAGGAGATTGAAGAAGCAATCATGATATGCTGGGAGATTTGGAACTATAGAAATGGTGTAATCTGGAACCAAAGAACGAGTACGGTGGATCGCATACTAGATAAAGCTATTAGCTTCATCAATGAATGGCCCAATTACGCACATGGGCAGGATAACGAGGAGAATCAAAAGTGGAAACCCCCAGATGGTTTAGCCCTCAAGTGCAATATTGACGCATCTTTCAACCTTGCAACTGGTGAAGCTAGAGCAGGGATGGTTGTTCGGGATAGGCACAGTGAGTTTTTGAGAGGTAGATCGACATATATAGGGGCAACATTCAGTTCGATGATGGCAGAGGCATTGGCGGTAAAGGAAGCTCTTAGTTGGCTGAAACTTCACTACGATGACACCAAGATAGAGCTCGAGATGGATAGTCTATTTGTGAAGTTGCATTGGATAAGGTCGAAGATATTTACTCGTATTTATCTGACACGATTTCTGATTGTAAAAACCTTTTTAAAGGTTTTTAGTTTCTGTCTTTGTCTGTTGTTCGAAGGTCTGCGAATCAGGTTGCTCAGGCATTAGCACGAGTGGCTGATTCTATGTCAGGCTCGATGGAGTGGAATGCTAGCCCTCCATCCTTTATTGTAGATGCTTTATATTTTGATTTGAAAAATTAAGATGATGATTGTTTAAAAAAATATTGGGATATGTAAATGAGGCTAATTTTGAAAAAAATAAAATTAACTATTTCTTTATTAAGTAAAAGAACACTTATTATGGACCGGATGGGATGGAGTATTATTGATATGGAAGTTGGAAGCTGTATAGTCTCCCTAGTAAATTGAGCTTGTTACGTAGTAGTAAGTTATAATTAAGTCCAGAAACCTTTTCTTTTTCTTGTAAAAGTTATACAAAAAATATATTTGAACAAATCAAGAATGACCCAAATGTCTAGAATGGGGGTATAATAGTAACTTCGTATGGCTTTTGAGGGCATAATGGATATTTGTGCATTTTAATTTTCCATATATACCCTTTGGCAGATTTTTCGTTTTGATTTAATTTTTTTCAAACAATTGTCTCTCACTAATTTAATTGTCTTACATTCCCAAAATGCATGCTACATCATTTTCCATAAAGCACATATACATATACTATACTAATTAAATGAAACAAAATATAATATACTTATACTATACGAATTAAACTAAATACACTAAAATATATACATAATATATTAGAGGAAATACGTATAAAAATTAAACTACTAATATTTATGATTGAAGTGGTCACTTTCTAACCCTAAACACTTAATATATTTGGCCAAACCTAAAAAGCTTTTTCAGCCCCCATTTTTCTATCTTTGTTTTCTCCTTCTTCATCTTTTATCTTTCTTAGGGTTAGATTAAGAAATGGACCATGAGAAGAGGAATAATGCTTTGAAATTTTATGTAGTGTTTCATAAGAGGCCTGAATTGTACAACTCTTGGCATCAGTGTGCTCCTATGGTTATTGGTGTCACACGCAACATCTTCAAGGCCTTCAAAATGTATGATGAAGCCATAGAAGCTTTTAATGAATTTAGAAATGGATCTCAAGCTGATAATATATCGGCATCGAAGGTGTATGTTGTATTTTGTGGTAAAAAGCCAGGATTATACAACTCTTGGTGTGAGTGTGCTCCTATGGTTATAGGTTTCAAAGGAAACATCTTTGTTACACCTCATGTTCTCGTACGTTAGAGTATTCGTAAGTCAATTGATATAAGCTCAGAAATGAGATCAACTTTGAAAGTATATAAGGTAAGCTCAGAAAGGAAGCTCATTTTCTTCTTCCTCTCCTTCATTTTCTTCTCCTCCTCCTCCTCCACTTTCATCCTCATTTTCTTCTTCTTCAGATTCATTTTCTTCTTCATTATACCCTTCTCGAGAGCATTCTACTTCGCCAGATTCAGTAGAATACTCATCCTCGCTGTCAAGAGTTTGAAGACATAGTGCTGCTGCTGGCGGCTGTGAGTGAGTTATATGGGTGGTGATGTTCTCCGGCGAGCTAGAGAGTTCCATTTTATAGGAGGAAATACTCTCCCCCCTCCCAAAAGACGTCGAATCCATAGTCAGAAAATGGCAAAAATAGAAAGGGGAAGAGGAAAGGAAGAAAGGGATGTTGGGTTTGACCACTATGAACTGATCCGGTCGATGTTACATCGTACAAATCAGAAGAAGAAGAAAATATATTCTCTGAATGGGACATCAACGATCGACCGGAGAAATAAATAAAGGTTGTAGAGAGAGATGCGTAGTACTTAATTACATGCACAGAGAATAATGATGACGAAGACAGTACATCTCTTTGGATGTGGACGGGGGAAAATATTTGGGACTTCGGATTCAGATTCAACTTTGGAGAAACCGCTAATGCACCTCATGCATTAATTTCTTACATATTTCTTATTCCAATGTCCCTTTTTATGAGTTTATTTATATTCATCAACTTAAGCACAATTCTTTCAATAAAATTAGGCGTATCTTTCAAGATTCAATAAGCTCTTTTAGTATAAATTAAGAGCAAAAATAATAAATATTGAATAAAAGGAAATACAACACAAAAGAAAAAAAAAATATTCACTCTTGTTTCTCTGTTATTTATTTTTGAATATATATAGGATAAACCGATAGAAGTTTTAACTGTCAACTTTAGTAGCTTATAAAAGCTATTTTGAATCCATTAAAAATTCTAACCCAATTGTCAAAAGCCAACGTTAGAAACTATGAATAAATATCCATTAATGTTAATCAAGAGTAATAGTATCAAATTTGATTAGTTACAAAATCATTATTATATTTGAATGTTTATTGAAATTAATTATAGCAATTTAGTGGAAAAAATTTGGAGTATATATCTTGATTGCACAAGAAAATAATTTATCTCTCACATGCAAATTTAGTGAAATATTAAATATTTTTTATTAATCATTTATCGATGTCACGATCCAAAAACCACAAGTAGTGATGGCACCTAACTCAACCCACTAGGTAAGCCAACAAACATGAATAAAACACAATATGAGTGAGATAACAAGAAAATAGAGACTAGCTAACTGAACCTTTACAAGTTTACCATGACCTGATAGTACGAATCACAAGCTTCTATGATTTGAAATTTCAAAATTGATACAAATAAATGCACGTTCTGTTTGAAAGGTTACATAAACAGATTAACAATACTCTAAACTACCAAGGACAAGTGTCAGTTGTATCCAAACGCACGAACATCTTCTGAATCAACACTCGACGTCACAAGCAATTCCGTTCTATAATCTGCACGGAACATGCAGAAGTGCAGTATCAGTACAACCGACCTCATGTACTGGTAAGTATTTTGTCTAACCTCGCCGAAGTAGTGACGAGGCTTTTAGTTAAAAAGATGTTTATTGCAATAACTTGTACAATAGTTTAACAGTAAAGCAGTTCAAAGTATAACGGATAAAAGTATCATACGCAACTCAGCGAGATAGTCAATAATTACTAAAAAGAACCATAGTAGAATTTTCGTGGTTTTTACTTGCATAAGATATATGTCCAAAATGTCAAATCACATGGCGTGGTAACACCCTTCGTGCTTTTATCTCATCCTCACCATGTATAAATAAATTTATGTAACAATTTAATTAGTACGACAACACCTTTCGTGCATTCAACTCATCTTTCCAAAGTGATCGTATAACAGAGCCAACCATATCACAGGAACACAATAATAGGAATTACTAAGTAGGAAATACGCAAGTAACAATAGCGGACAAGGATACACATGTGGGTCACAGTAAAGGACTAAGTGGAAAGCATGCGAGTAACAACAACAATTGGAAAACAAGGAATATCAACTTCAATTAACTAGCATATTGGAGACCTGAGTATAAATATAACAATTAAGAAGGAAACACATGTTCTTTACAAGTTAACAAGTAAGGGCATGAATGACTAGCATGGTGGAAGGCTTATACTAAAGTGCAACATAATAGATACAACATGAGTATAATTATAAAAGCAGGAATAGATATGGTAATTGTAAGTTAAGCAAGTAAAAGACATGGACAATGCAACAACAATTGAGATAAAGGTCAAGTACAGGACAATAACAACAAGTCACACCAAATATGTAAATACAATAATAACAACTCAAGGTAAGGGCGCAACTGTATATACGGGAAACAGATATCACATCATAATGCATGTCCCTCATCCTCACCTGCACGGACACCCTTCGTGCCATGACATCACCATAACATACAAGCATAACAATATAAATGAAATGGCACGGCATCACCCTTCGTGCTTTATACTTTCTCTCACATGATAATGTATAAACAATGGCACGACATCACCCTTCGGTTGTAGTAATGTAGTAATGATTTCGCATCGAGATGACCAAATTACACATCAATGTATTCTTACAATTTTCATCAAGTTTGATCAAGTTATTACAAACTAAGTCTTGACATCGATCATTTAATACTATGTCCTTAGTATCTAAGAGTCAAGGCATTAAGCAGAATGTTACGAAATTCTACAAATACAAATATAGCATAATCCACCTTCCGAGCATGATTAACCCTGACACATACATATACGCTCGTCACCTCATATATGTATCACCCCCTACATGTAGCAAACAATGACAAATATGAGGAAAAATTCCCTCAACAAAGCTAGGCAAAATACTTACCTCAATCCGATTAACTCAACACTCAACTTAGCCTTTTCCTCTACAAATTCGCCTCCGCTCGACTCAATCTAGCCAATGACGACTTGAATACACCACACAATGCAAGAGAAAATAATTTCAATTAATAAAGCTATGATTTTTATTCAATTTCTAAAAAGTCAACAAAAGTCAAACATCGGGCCCGCCTGGTCAAAACCCGGGTCCAAAGGTAGGTCTTGACTACCCATAGCCCCACGAGTTTAAATATGTGTTTTATTTTCAAATTCGACTCTTATTCGACTCTCAAATATCAAATTTTTACTTTTTAAAACTTTGACAAAATCCCAAATTTTTCCATAGTTTTCCCATGAATTTGATGTTAAATCTTGTATAAAATCATGAAATATAGTAGGAAATTGATTAAAGATACTTACCCAATGATTTGTCATGAAAATTCCCTCTCAAAATTGCCTCACCTCGAAGCTAGGGTTCAAAATACGAATAATGAAGCAAAAACTCGGAATTCCCAGCACTTAACAGGTTGCAGATGTCGCATTTTGCGAACCCCGCAATTGCGAAAAATAATTCGCAATTGCGAACCTGAAGGAGTTCTGCTGAGGTCGCATTTGCGACAAAAACTTCGCAAATGCGAAGACCAGCCTTCATAAATGCAGCTGCTTCATCGCAAATGCGAAAAGCTGCCTAGTCGCCCAGACTTCACAACTACAAGGTTTCTTCGCAAATGCGATGGCCGCATTTGCGACCAAAACATCGCAAATGCGAAGATATTAGAACCAGAAATCAAAAACTATGCAAAAATATTTCGAAACCAATCTGAAACTCACCCGAGCCCTCGGAGCTCCAAACAAAATATACACACAAGTCTAAAAACATAACACGAACTCGATCGTGTGCTCAAATCATCAAAATAGTTTAGAAAACCACGAATCGGATGCCAAAACACATGAAAATCAAA